CGTTTAGCACGAACAACTTCGTGTGTGCATTACTGATCTAACGGCAAGTCTTTGTGGGTGAGCTGCAACTTTTTTTTATTTATTTAGAAAAGGAGGATGTATCCCCGGCCTCTGCATCTGCACGATGCATGCAGTCATTTTATTAATTATTCATAAAGACCATACAAGGTGATACATCAATAAGCCCGAAGTCACCATCTTGGCAACGCCTGCTGCTACTCCTATCCCCTTGATGAAGGGGTGCTGAATGTCCGGGCCTAATACCAAACAGACATCACAGCAAAACCTAACATCTAAAGCCGGATGCCCCATCCAAGCCACTACCTGGACTGGATCACACACCAGTCCGGCACACTACCAGTGAGCACCGCACACTGCAAGGACCGTCACCTCCACCTTCCATTGATCCATCCGCAGAGCAGAAATGATGCACCGACCTTGCCAGTCCTCTCTGCCATCGACGCCACCACGATGCCAGATAGCGTCGCCCTCCTGCGCGAGTCCGCCAACCCGGATCAAACGTCGAGCCTCCACTGCACCATGCCACCGAGATCCGCTGTCATCGATGCGGAAGATGAAACCCCGCTCCGCCTCTGGGCCCTTCCAAACAGCTCCTGCTCCAAAATGGTGCCCTCAAGAGGGAAAACGGCACCATAGTTTTTGTCATCATCCGATCTGGAAGACCCAGATATAGGGTTTCCCCCGAAGTATATGCCCCCTGGAGGAAGAGGGGCACGCCAACTGCAACTGCCCAAGAACACAAGCCGTGCCCAGCACCACTCAGCTCTCACGATGGCGCCTTCGAGAAGGACACGACGCCATGAGCGCCGCCGCCGCCCTAGGGTTTTCACCCGAGAGACCGGGAAGTGGGAAAAGGTGGGGCGGACCCGAACGACGTCTCCAGGAAGAGAAACGGCACCCTCGGGCGTCGTCGTCGTCGCGGCCGGCAGGAGCCGACCAGGGAATTATCCCAATTTGAATCCCTACCTCCCACTCCGCCCTAATCGGTGACTGGCAATCATCACAGCCATGCCCGTTACGACGGAGTGCATGAAGCAAGGATTGGAGGGAGAAGCAGCTCGACGTTGTTGGCCGCCGAGGCAAGAAGCCGCGGCACCAACCCATCAGTGGATCGCCGGCCACCCGACCCGATTCCCGGCAGCCCGCCGTGCCACCGGACAGGGAGACCATCCTAGAGGCCGCCGCCCTAGATCCAAGGCCCTCCGCCCTAGATCGGGATGAGCAGCGCCAACACTGCCACCGCAACCACCGTTAGGATGCCGGCCGACCGCCACACCGCCAGATTCCAGATCTGGACTGCCATGAACCAGATCGGCGCCACCGCAGCCCAGATCAGGGTCACACCCTTGAGCCAGGGCACCCCACGTCACCCTATGACCCGCGAGAGAGAGGAGTGCCTCCGCCGCCGCCGTCGCACGCACAGGCTATGCCCGGCGCCGACCACCGGCGGCGGCGGAGAGGAGGAAGAGCAAGGAGTAGTGCCCCGACGGCTAGGTTTGGAGCCCCTCGGTCTCCCGCACAAGGGGGGGGGGGTGATGGAGGGAGAGAATCTTGGACCAATTTCAAATTCTGAAAGAAAGGAGGTGAGATGCAACTGAAAGGATGGAAAGAAAACACTGGGAACGTTTACCCGTGCCTAGAGTCTTGAACCACATTTTTTTCGTTGGGCGATTTGATAATTTGCCACCCCTTACTTCCCTCTTTCACAATTTGCCACCCATTGTCTCAATGACGGGCAGGCCCGGGCCTCACCTGTCATTCTCAAGGGGGGCAAATTATGAAAGGGGGAAGTAAGGGGTGGCAAATTATCAAATTTGCCTTTTTCGTTTTGGCCATGTGATGGATCACATGCATGAAGGACAAGTCTTCTAGTAGTACTCCACTACTAGGCTAGATCTAAACTTGAGGTACGAGCCAGTACAAAAAGCTATAGTTGTGACATTTGATTATTATTTTTTTGCGAGAAAGTTGTGCCATTTGATTAGCAAGAATAGATCGACCATTGTGGCCCTTTTTTTATGCTCTTTGATTAACCCAGAGCTTAACCTTCGGATATATTTGGTTTAAGAACCTAATGGAATGAAATCGAATTGTTCCATTCCACTGTAATGGGTCGGTGACGTCCAGGTGTTTGGTTAGAGTGGAAAAATAGAATGGTCAATACTATTCATGCGGTTGGTTCGAGAGATGAAATGACAAGAATCTGACTCAGCTCACCTCTTGGTGAGGTTACGTTACATATGCATATGAAGTATAAATCTTGAATGTATCTTTATGCTTAATAGATAACGGGTGAGCAATATAATTTTGAACCAGACCTTTTGATCTCTGGTTATCTTTCATAGTAATAATATCTCGGTGTTTGCAACGAAAACTTGGTATATTGACTATACGACCATTAACTAAAATATGTGTTGCCCTCCTTTGCTATACCGGAACTATCTGACCGAGCTCCATCTAAAAAATTCTTCTAAAAATGCCGAACCCAATCGAAACCCTCCTCCAGCTTTCTTTCCCATTATGGATTCTTTAGCAGCAGTAAACCAGCAAGGGTTTTTTCTGTATCGGTATTCGTTCTTGAATCAGTGACTGAGAGTACTAAAAATATAGCTCTTTGCATTAGACAAAATATAATTCGAATTTTCAACTTCATTTTCTTTTGTATTTTCAGCATTCACAACTCACAATATACAATCACAAACATGCCAAATATCTGTCAACAATTCCATGAACAAGATAACTACATGGCTGTCACTAATTTCCAACGAACAAGATCAAACTATATCATCGATTGCATGAAAAAGAAAATATACGGCTTTCTGACGGCAGCATGGAGCAATATACATGGCTGGGAAAAAAAATCATGGTGCTCCTCACTCTCGGGTATAGCATACAACAACATATAGCATATACTCCCTCCTTTCCAAAATATTTGAAGTTCTAGGTTTGTCCTAAGTCAAACTTAAGTTTGACCAATTTTATAGAAACAAATGTTGATATCTATAACATCAAATATATACCGTATGAAAATATATGTTATGATGAATCTAATGAAGAAAATTTTGTGTTAAATGTGAAGCCTTGTCTCTTTGGTCTTGTTAAGCATATATATCTGAATTTTGAACTTAGTCACCTGATATTGCGTATATTTGATGCATCTTCTTGTCCATCTCTTTCTCTACGCAATCCCAACTAGCTGCTGGTAGGTGGATCCAGTCTCATCATCTTGCGCCCCTCTTCTTCTTGGATGCTTCTTGAGTTGCTTGCTGCATCCCTGCAGATTTATCTTCCAGGCTATTGCTACAGCTTTGTTTACCTGTCAAATTCTTTTGGTAACAATTAACCTGACTTCACTTTTACCAATATAGATTCTACTGAATTCTATAATGACACTTTTATATCTGAAAAAGGGATTAAACACCACTTGCTAAGTAGTTCGTTAATTTTGAACCAGATATGTATCTATTTACCTCCATGTACATGAATTTCTTCTATAGTAAGGATATTAAGATAGTATTTATTCTTGTGAGGTAACAATGCGGTACATTTATTTTTTGCTGTGACAAATTTCATTCTGAAAGGTGCTTAAGTGACGGGTATTCCATGAAACATCAAAATTGCATATTTTATGTACAATCAAGTTTATATGTCGACCTTTTTTAGCAAATATGAGCGTGAGTGTGAGAGGGTTGTGAATAAAGATGAGAACTTTTGTTCAGCTTAATTAAGATGGGAACTTGGTTTCTCTAGGAGTCTTGTTTGGCTTATCATTACTGAGGGCGTTTTTTTATTGGAAAACATGGACAAGGGTGAAGCTAGTGAGTCCTGACATGCATGGTCAATCCCCGGGATCTTCCACATACTGCAAAATATAGTGTTTTCTTCGGGATATCATTGAGTAGCTCCCAGGCTTTCAGTTTCGATTTGCCTCTCATCCGAACTCTATTCAGCACTACATCACATTAGGCTTTTGAACGATAGCAGCGGTGTTATGATCTCAATTTCACAAGCATTATCTTCTTACATATTCTTGTATAAATCTTACAATGGTTTCTTTTATTATGTATTTATGTAAAACAGGGTTTTATTACATCACTGGAGTACTGGACATTTGTGTAGCGGTTCTAGCTTGTGATTTCTGACACACTAAGTTGCCAATAGGTATGCATGTTCTTTTTTCAATGCTTGAGCTCATGATATCTATTGACATTAAACAAGTAGAAAGTCAAAACAAAATAATGGTTTATTTTGAGACAGTGGATTTGAACGTGCAAGATCAGGTGCTTGAGCTTAGGATTTACATATACAATACGATACCCCGTGTATTGCCATAGAATTAGGTATATAGTTCTAAATATTGTGTAAAATAGTAATTCAGTCCTCCAGATTTAAACTATGGGAGAAAGTTCTGCATAAGAAAAGAAAATGTAACATGAAAAGTTGTGCATGTTACAATGAAATGCACTGTGACCTAATAATCACTTAGAATGCACTAATGCATGTTGCATGATAGAGGATTCTCATCTATAGATTGGACGAATGCTAGTGCATCAAGCTAGTAAATCTAACAATTAGCTACAACATTTTTTATGATGTCGAAGCATGCATGTTGTGATAATTAGAAGTTGTGGGGATCACTCTCTTAGGTATATAGAATACTTGTACATCTTGAAGAAATAACTCGCAAAATATCCATTAAAGTTGTAGAATTTCTTAAAATGCATAAGTATCTAAAGCATGAACATAGGCACTCAAGATTGCGATGCACATTTACATTTTCTTATTTCATCGAAAGAAGATCAAAGTAGAATACATGGAATTTCCCTTCCTTAAATATTGGTTGGTGTGCAAATGCTTTAGTATGGACAATTTTGTTGTAAAATTGTTGTCATATGGTAGTTCTAACTATGCTATATTAAGAAAATTTCTTAATGTTAGTGTTGAAAGTGCATTGTGTAAAATAGATTCCACGCAGATACATGGATCATGAGGTCTTGGAGCGTATAATTGATGGAAAGCAGAAGCCGGCAGATCTGCCATTTGCACTTTTGAAGGATATCACAGAAAATTTTTCTGACAATAGAGAAATTGGCCATGGTGGATTCGCAATGGTCTATCGGGTAATGTTTTTTGTTTATATAAAAAATTTAAGTATATGCATTCAAAAATCTCACTGGGAATTGTTCTGCCGGCTTGAGCAGTCCTCATGCTGTCCAACTATGTTAATAACTGATGTTGCTAGATAGTAAATATATATAAATCACAGTATATATGGATGTTACATATGACTCGAAGGTACCATATAGTTTTGGTAGTATATAGTATGTATTGAAGCCAATAAATCAGGCAAAGTCTATGTGTCACGAGAATGTGCTCATGCCTTGATAGGGAAAACGTTTGTCGCCTTAAGTTGGCCAGGGAGGCTCATCTTTTCCCAAGCATGTGCATGTGGTGGAGCAAGTGTAGCGTATTTCCGTTAGGTGCCTGTGCTTTGTGTTCTCCCAGAAATATTTGTGTGTACTCGCAAAATAAAATAACATTTGTGTGTACTGGCTAAGTGGGTGTTGCATACAACACCTTCTAATGAGCTAAACATTCTTCGAATGCTCACAAGATAAGCTAAACAGGGTGTCCTCCGAAACGGGAAAACCATTGCTGTCAAAAGGATAAAGAGCAACCATTCAATCAATGAGACATTATTTCGCCGTGAAGTTGACACCCTGTTGAACATTGAACATGAGAATGTGGTAAGGTTTCTTGGCTTTTGTGCTAGCACAAACCAAATAGCCATTAAAATTGAAGGATTAAAAGAGCATATTTACGCCGAAGTAAGAGAAAGATTGTTATGTTTTGAGTATATCAGAAATGGAAGCCTGCAAGAATATATTACTGGTACGTCATTGCTTGCATCTCTTATCTTTACTTACTTCTCTTTTTATTTTAACTTACTTCTGACATGTTTTATCTGGTCAAGGAGTGCGATAGACAGAAACACAATAATGAGGGTAATTTATTCATTGTGAAATCTATAGCATGCATAAATCAAATGTTTGAAATATTCTTGGCTCCATGGTACCCTTTGCATTATGCAGATGAATTACGAGGACTTGAATGGAACACACGTTATGAAATAATAAGAGGCATTTGTGAAGGTTTGTATCATCTGCACAACGAAAAGCAAATATATCATATGGATATGAAACCTGACAATATACTACTAGACAATGATATGATGCCGAAAATCACGGATTTCGGTTTATCGAGACTTGATGAAAAGTCACAAACCATGAGTGAAGAGCGTCTTGGATCACGGTAAGTGCATCAAAATAACTGAGTTTCTTGAGATTTGGACTAACATTTTCGGTTGCTATAATGCATTGGAGTACTGGCCTTCTATGTAGAGGATATTGTGCTCCTGAATACCTATGCGAGGGAAAGATGTCATTCAAATCAGACATGTACAGTTTAGGAGTTATAATTATCGAGCTAGTGACAGGACAAAAAGCGCTCGCCAATAAGAATAACAATGTAAGAGGGTTTGATCTCATTATGTGAGCATCTCTTTTTAGAAATATAATTTCAAATGTTCACATTTGTTGCCTTTTTCTAACTAATCCTACTTAATTTGCATTTTATGTATTCGATGACATGCATATCTAGTTAAATAATGCATAGTGGAAGCTGCCCCATCCTGGATTCCTGGACTCCTTAAACCACTCTCGCTCACTCCTTCATGCTCTAAAATGTATAGTTTACCACATTATGTTACTTATATGTGACACGCGTATTTAGGAAGTACCCACACACAGGATTTATCAACAACGAAAATTACTATGAGGTTTCTTTTCCTCTAATTAGGAAACATAATTTGTGGGCCTGATTGATTATTTTTTACGAGACCACGTCAAGAGGATAGAGAGCTCCACCACATTTATACATTAGATAAACTGGCCCAGTTAAAGAGGTAACTAGGTCAGAAACTATATAGAGCATACTAGATTAAAAGAAGACCGTGTAAAACCCTGACAAATAAGAAAAACACCTAGCTAAGCTAGGCCAGGAGCGTCATCCAACACATCGGAGCACCAGCAACCTGACGCCTGCATGAAGGGAATGATACTCGAGCTCCGTCGCCGTACGATCCGCCAGAAAGGGTATATCTTGGGTTTTCCCCTAGAAGAAGAAATCCGAGCAAACTCCATATAATGCTTCCAATAAGGGAATGGTCTGGAATATCACCATTGCCAGGTACAATCAATGCAGGTCAGACATAGGGCTTTCACACTGAAGCTCAAGACCCTATGCTAAAGAGCATCACCAGACTTAAGTTACCGTGTACCACCACCCCCACTTTGATCATAATGCTTCAACATCCATACACACACAGTCCTGACGTGGACTACACAACTGGACATACCATGTATACGGAAGTAGATCAGAGCACACCACCAGCATCAACAAAGTCACTGCCAACAGCCACTGAGGGGGCTAACCGGCAGCCTCACGTTGTCATTAGTGATTGGACGCAAGCTACAGAGATAAAGCCATCTGTGCCGCTAAGAACCCGCATGGGGCCATCTAGCAGCCCGCCCTGTCTTCATCCAAGTCAATAGGCAGTAGTTCAGGACAAGACGCTGAGCATTCAGCTAGGCGGAACACCCATCATTTGCTGCCACATGTAAAGCTCACATCACCCAACCACTCCCACATGCATCATGTCTGCCGCCAGTGTGCACGAAGCCGAGCATCCATGTGCAACACTTCCGCCGATCTACCATTGTCGCACACCTTGTTTCTGCCAGTAACATGTCTCGCGAGCCGCCTCAACTTCTGGGTAGGTGTGTAGTCTAGTAAGTGTTAAGTTAGTTTTTGAGTTCTAGCAGTTTAAGGGGACGACACTTTAGCAGTTTAGCAAGGGGTCATGGGAGAGTTTTTCCCTTCGACAAGTATTCTTGGAGAATTGGATGCTAAGCAAGATCGTATTACTTAGCAGTTTGCCGTGTACGGTTTGGACAAAGTTGTTTGTTATTTTTTATATGATCAATAAACCCAACAGTGAGGCAGCAAAACTGCTGTCAATCTATAGTTAATCGAACCGGCCGAATTTGAGAAATACTAGAAAAAC